CTCATCTCAGTGAGCCAAGACCGCTGCATTTCTGTGGTTTGTTCACTTTACGGACTGACCGCTTCGGGGACGTCGGCCCCATTGGATGCTGAGTGCCTTTACCCACAATTGCAGACGACCCTGTGTTTGTCCGAGGCTCCTTTTGTGCCCGTCACGTGGCTTCCAGCACGCGAGGCCTCTTGGGAGGTGGAAGGAAGTCGATTTGCACTTTGCAGGGCTCTCCTGTCTGCTCATCCCAGGCCAGGTTGGATTCGGTGCAGAACGAGGCTTCCGGGCAATGGGGGCCGTCAGCGGCAGCCAGGATCCACTGCGCAGCTCGCAGGTGGCTGGACAGATGCCGCTAGAAGGACCCTTGCCTCTTCTGATCCTGAGTCCGGACCCTGAGCCGAGGACGGACGGTCTCTCTTCCAGGCTGGAGAGGCGTGACGTGAACGTGGTGGAGGTGCCGAGACAGAGCTCTGGATGGGTGTTTGAGAACCCCTGTAAGGCGACGGCCTCCGCGGTCTCATGTGGGACGTGGGGCATGGGGCGTGGGGCGGTGGGGGATGGGCTGGCTTTCCAGGTCACTCCCCAATCCCCAGTGGGCTCTGCCACTGGCAGCCTGGGCTGGCGTCCCCTGCCGCCTGACCAGTGCCGTGGGCTGGGGAGCAGGCCCATCCCCGAGACTTCCACTAGAAAGTGAAAGGACGCATTTTGTCAGAGGTTGGAGGACAGAGGGCTCTCCCCGGCATGCTCCGCGGTGACCCCGGGCCTCCGTCTGGGGTGGTGCCCCTGAGGGGCATGATCGGTGGAGTGTTCCCCCCGGCATGAGCTGGGACAGGCACTCACCGGCCATCCGTGCCTAAGGCCCTCTGTGTGCTAGCTCTGGGGACCAGGGGACAATGCTTCCTGGGGGGCCTCTCCGGAGGTCTGATGATCCCCCCTGGGGGGCGCACGTATTTCCTAGCCCTGGGAGTGTTGGACTACCGGGGGCTGGGCACCAACTTCAGGGACTACGCCATTGTGTTCACCCAGCTGGAGTTCAAGGATGAGGCGTTCAACACCGTGGAGCTGTACAGTAAGTGGTGGAGACCACGGGCCGGCCCCACGAACTCCCTGCCACGGGCGGCCATGCTGGCCATCCTCCCGCTGACTGTGCTGAGCCCCGTGCCCCCAGGGTCCCAGAGCACCATCCCTGCCCTTCGGCCCCCTGCAGGAGGGGTGGCTGGGGCACGGGGCACACGTGGTGAGGGCTCCCCTCCTGCCCCACAGGCCGGAGGAGCTGGCCAGCCAGGAGGCCCTGCGCCTCTTTGCTAGGTGGAGCAAGGACCTGGGCTTCCTGTCTCAGCAGCAGGCCACGCGGTAGCCGGACCGTGAGTGTCACCCGATGCCCACGGGCCCCCGGCTGACTTCTGCTGGTCTTGGGGTCCCGCCGGGCCGCAGGGAGTCAGGCAGGGCAGGGGTGGGGAGCTCTACATGGAGTCATCTGCTCCTGCACAAAGCCAGGCCTGCAGGGCCGGCCCCGTCTCGGGCGAGGCCGTGGGCAGAGCGTGGTGGCCACGGTGTGTGCTGGGTGCCCACCCTCACAACTCCTCTTTCCTCCTAGCCACCTGTGTGCACAAGGCTTTCCAGGTAAGCTGCCTTCCCGAGCATCACCCCAGATCCTCCACCCCAGAGCTCCGCCCCGTGAAGGGCCGGGGACCGGGACGGGGCAGACACCCCTCGAGTTGAATCTGGGGTCCCCCAGTGCTCTCCTTGGTTTTCAGTGAATGCGTCGACCTCTGGGGCGACTGTTCCCGCCGAGTCCTCTGAGGCTGGCCGGGCGCCGGCTTCCTTGCTCAGCTGCCTGGGAGCTTGGTGTGGGGCGGGCTGCTCTCAGGACTCACACTGCAGTTCCTAATAAAACGATCCCACAAGGCCCTACAGATGCCTCTCACCT